GAATTTCCCTTTTGTCGCCCGTCTCCGATTCAATTTTTTATAATTAATTTCTCCCTATAATGAACAAAAGCAGAAAATGCATATAATGGACAGAGATTTCGGTATAGAGAGAGTGCTTTTGTATTGTTAAAAAAATTTTGCCCTATCATCACCAATTTTGCCGCTGCGGACTTCTTGTCATAATAATAATAATAATAATAATAATAATAATAATAACGGATTTTTTTGGCTGGAACCATGAACCCACTGTGGCGAGGTTTTACTGTAATCATTTAGCATCTATTAAGTGTATAATAATAAAATTCAACAGGCGCGTGATTATTTTGCAAGTAATGAACGATTGAATTTACCAGGTTAAAAAATTCCACGTGACTAAATTAACCGGTTAGAGAATTTTTGCGCAGTGCCAACCTCTAGTTTCCCTTGCCAAATTTCAATATATACATTTTTGATACGTCTTACATCCTGCAAAAAAAAATATAATTTCAAGCTATTGTTATAATATAACTCGAGCACACTGATACATGAGTACCTTAACCACTTTCGACGTTTCACAAGAAAACGTACTTCGCTAAAGATGACTCTGCAACTAGGAAGTTACAACCCCAAAAAAATTTTGACAACTGCAACTTCTGCAATTGTCTACAACTTCTGTGACATGACAAACTTTCGATTATAATAATTATAGTAATATTTTAATCAAACATCAATTAAGAGAATTTGGTACATGTCATAATATTATTATTAAATTTTATTTATATTATTAAGATATTTTGACAAGTACACACCACTTTTGACTTGTTAATGCTATAAAAATGAATAAATAATATCGCATATACGATATGTATGTTTATGTTTGATGACAATGATTATGATTAAAGTTACATTTTGGATGAAGCAGATAAATTACTCGAGCTTGGATTTTTGGAACAAACAGATGAAATATTTGCAACATGTTCAAATCTAAAATTACAAATAGTGCTATTTAATGCAATGTTGCCATCAGGAGTTGAATCTTTGGCAAAGTTCCCATAAGGGTTGTTATTGGCAACAAGTATATATCTATGTAAAATTTTTCAATAAATAAAAATTCTGGATAAATTTATATATTTTTTCAAAAGCTTTATTTATGTTGGACAAGAAGAGGGTAAATTATTAGCAGTTTGTCATCTGATACAAGAAGGCTTAAAACCATCTGAACATGCCAAAGAA